GCTCTCCCCCTGAGCATGGCCCAGACCCTCAGCCCCGCCTCCTGCAGCTGCGGGACCCCACCTTGGGGACAACCCCCCCCAACGTGAACCATCACCTCTGTGTGGAGGGAGGTGGGTATGGGGGGGCTTCACAGGTGCCCGGGGACCCCTCCCGTGAACCGTCACCTCTGTATGGAGGGAGGTGGGTATGGGGGACTTCACAGGTACCTGGGGACCCCCCCCATGACAACACTGCCTGTCCCCTCACACCAGGCCTCGACTCTGTGGCCACCGCCAGGATCTTCTACAAGCTGATGCGGCGCCTGGGCTTCCAGAGCTTCTACATTCAAGGGGGGGACTGGGGGTCCCTGATCTGCACCAACATGGCCCAGCTAGCGCCCAGGTGGGTGGTGCCAGGCACCGGCGTGTGCGTGGCTAGGGCTCCCGGGGCGGGGCTGCTGTGCCAGGGGAGCGGAGGGGTGGGAGGGGTGCCCTGACACTCTGCCCAGCGCCTCAGCCTGCGGCCTGGCCTGGCCTCTTCTCTGCCCTCAGCCACGTGAAGGGCCTGCACTTGAACATGGCTTTGATCTTGAGAAACTTCCAAACCCTGTCGCTGCTCCTGGGACCGCGCTTCGGGAGATTCCTGGGCTTCACGGACAGGGACATGGAGCTGCTGTTTCCGGTCAAGGAGAAGGTGTTCTACAACATCATGAGGGAGAGCGGGTACCTGCACATCCAGGCCACCAAGCCGGACACCGTGGGTGAGTGGGGGGGGGGACAGGTGGACAACAGGCAGGGACCAGTCTCCTACTGACCCTGCGGGGAGGGGGTCACTACTGACCTGTCTGGTGGTGGAGGCCAGGGGTCACTACTGACCTGTCTGGTGGTGGAGGCCGGGGGTCACTACTGACCTGTCTGGTGGTGGAGGCCGGGGGTCACTACTGACCTGTCTGGTGGTGGAGACGGGCCCCTGTCTGGTGATGAATGACATCACCCATCAGCCCCAAAGTGCCACCGAGCAAAGTACACCCCATTTCCCCAGAAGACCACCCAGGGCACGGGGTCTTCTCTGCTGACCCTGCGTCCTGGGGGTGACCCCACTGCTGACCCTGGGCCCTCGACCCCTGAGGCCCCATGGGAAGGGTCACCGTGTGCTGCTGCGTTTCCGTGTGCAAGCCGGCTCCTGCCCGGGGGCTGCGCCCCAGCCCTGCCGTGGGGTGGTGTGCCGGACTCGACAGGCGGGACGCGTGGAGGTCTGCAGCACTTCACACCTGTGTGCTTGTTAGCAGCACTGTGGACAGGACGGTGGCTCAGTCCCAGAGCGCTCACTTAGTGTGCATGAAGCCCTGCTTCTGAGCACCACAAAGTGCGTGTGCATGTGAGTGCACGTGCACATGTGTGCGTGTGTGCATGCGTGCATGTGTGCACGTTCACATGTGCATGTTCTGTCAGGGTGTCTTGTTTTGTCTCACTGAGACCTCGCTAGACCCACGTCTTGGAGGGAGATGCTCATAGACTGGCCCTGTAGATGTGGGAGGGTTGTTTTGCTCCACAGTGAGGCTGTAGGAGCTGAGGGTGGGGAGCGGGGTGCAGGCAGAGGGGTGCCAGACCCTGTTCCTGTGCAGCACCCACACCTCGGTCCTGGGGGCCAGCCTGAGGCCCACACCTCGGTCCTGGGGGCCAGCCTGAGGCCCACACCTCGGTCCTGGGGGCCAGCCTGAGGCCCACACCTCCGTCCTGGGGCCAGCCTGAGGCCCACACCTC